GAGGAGAGGGGAGGAGGGAGGGGAAGACGGGGAGGAGAGATGGGGAGGGAAGAGATGGAGGAGAGGGGAGGGGGGAGGGGAAGAGGGGGAGGAGAGATGGGGAGGGAAGAGATGGAGGAGAGGGGAGGAGGGAGGGGAAGACGGGGAGCAGAGATGGTGAGGGAAGAGATGAGGAGAGGGGAGGAGGGAGGTGAGGAGGGGGAGGAGAGATGGGGAGGGCAGAGATGGAGGAGAGGGGAGGAGGGGGAGGAGAGATGGGGAGGGAAGAGATGGAGGACAGGGAGGAGGAGAGGGGAGGAGGGGGAGGCTTCTGGGCAGCATGGCTTACTGAGGTCTTGCTCTGTTTCAGGCATTCTCTAAGTGCTTGCAGGACATGCACCATGTCATGTGTTCCCCTAAGAATCCTCAGTAAGACACGTTGTTACCCCCATTTTGCGACTCCGATCACTGAAGCTTAGAAAGGCTAGCTGATCTGTCCAAGGTCACAGCACAGGAGTTGGAGTCAGACCACCGCCTCCCGGATGGCAAAGCCCACACTGACCATGGCCGTGCTCACCAACCCCATGCCTTGACCCTGAGGTCTCAACAGCCAGGCCTCCACACACAGCTTCTCTTTTCATCCACAGGACAACCCTGCAGGCTGGACACTGTGCATGTGGCGAGAGAGGGATTTGAACCCAGTTCTCGCTGACTCCCAAACTCCATGTGAGTACCCCGCCTCAGATCTCTTTCTCTGCTGTTTTGATCACAGTGTGTGGATTCTTTGGACTTCCCTCAGCTAGCTCACGTTCACACATGATATCCTGGACCAGACCTGCAGACAGACATTGTTTCACTGGGGCCAGAAAGATGCTCACAGCATCATCTAGACCTTCTTAGAAGGCGATGCTCTCTGGGCTCTACTGCAGAAGCTCCTTCATGTTGGAAAACTTAAATCCTGGTACCTTGAAGACCCGGCCCACCCAAGTTGTATATTGTTGTGAACGCCCTTCTTCTTCCTCTGAGGCCGTCACAAAGCTTCCCTACTTTTCCCTCTGAGTCTGGCATTTACTCCCCAGGAAATCCTTGTGTCAACTACAAACTGGAAGATTTAAACATAAGCAATTAAAACTCAAAGTCAAAGGTGACTGTCTTTGAGGAAGGAAAGTAATATGAGTAACAGGGAGCCACAGACTCCCAACTGTATGGTTCCTCTGGGTCCAAATTAAAAAGTCCATGAAAGCATCCCTCAGAGTCCCATCCCTGGGCACGGTGGGTTCAGGGAAGACCTGAAAGCCCATCTGGCTGATGTCACAAGCAGCTGGTGAGTCCAGAGGCTTGCTAGAGAGCCCAGAGGCTTGCTTTTCCAGGCACTGAAGTGATGGACAATCCAGGCAGAGAGCCTGGGACCCGATGGACCCGCCACAGCTGGAGGTGGAGGGAGTCTGAATCCTGCGTCTCCACAGGGCTGTGTGAACAGCACATCAGAAACACACATTGGGCCACCAGCTCACCCGGCAAGTGGTCCCAGCAGCGTGGATGTTAGGATTACACAGAAACCGTGTGCACCAGCGGTTTAACGCAGACTTCTGTGTGCTTCTTTGTTTGGCCTCCCACATAAACGCAGTCTAAAGGTCGGCGTCCATGGCCGCAAGGTGGTTCCATGATGTCACCAGCGACCCTGCCAACTTCTCGTTTTCTGTGCCTGCTCAAGGCGTCCGTCTTCGATGGAGAACGGCAGCTGCTGCCATAGAGACATCCAGGCTGCCAGGGGGACTGAGGAGGTGGACCCCTCACCTCCGGCTGAAATCTTACGAACTGCACCAGCCACAGGGAGACAAGAAAATCCAGCTTTTCAGCTGGCTGCCTTGCTGCCTTCCCCAAATTCCAACCCTGAGGAATGAGGGGGAGGCGGGAGTGAGGTGGTGCTTCACGGCCCCAGCCCCTCAAGAACGCCAGTAAACGCCACACACTCACAGGCGACTCCTGGAGATTCCGCCCAGCCTGAGAGGCTCACTTCACTGTGATGCTTGCAGTCCAGGGGGTGGGCCAGGTCTCTGCCTCACCCCACGTCTCCCCCAGAGCAGACGTCACCTCTGCCTTGCCCAGGTGGCTGAAGATTCTGGATACGGGGGTGGGCTCCCCACAGCAAGATGCTTCACCACCAAGTGCTGCCCAGGTCTGCCCTTCGCATCTTGCAAACCAGCCGCTCAGCTTTATCCCAGGCCCCATCAGGTGGTTCTCTTGGAAATCCAGAGGGTTCTGCTCACTGCTACCCTGGGGGGATCTCTGAGAACGCTCCCCTCTGTCTGCTGTACACTTCACGAGTGCTCCCTGACACAGAACAAACAGCGGTTAAGGACCATGGTGTGGCCCGGCACTGTGCGTGGTGTGGCATCTGCAGAGATGAAAGTACTTCTCCTCTGGAGAGTTCAGATACTAGAGGGACAAACAGGTGCACAAATGCATCGCTGTGTGACCTGGGAGGGCTGCAGAGGATGAGGCCAGACTATTTAAGGGACCTCATTGTGCTGTATGGGCTCAGTCGTGTCCAGTTCTTTGCAACTCCATGGGCTGCAGCACACCAGGCTCCCCGTTCCTCACTGTCTCCCGGAGTTTGCTGATACTCATGTCCATAGAGTCAGTGATGCTATCTAACCATCTCATCCTCTGTTGCCCCCTTCTCCCCCTGCCCTCAATCTTTCCTAGCACCAGGGTCTTTTCCAATGAGTTGGCTCTTCCCATCAGGTGGCCAAAGTACTGGAGATTTTCTCATCTTGCAGAAGACAGCTGTATCCCTCACCCATCCCAAATCTTGCTTGGAATCTTGGCTGCAGGAGGATGTGTGAAACAACAAGATAAATTCAAGTTAATGATAAACCAAGGCCCTTAAGCTCACGAGGCTTTCTGTCCTTCCCTGTCGGGCACTTATTTCTGCAAGAAGAAGGGCAAGCTGGTCCACAGGGACTCATAACTCAGAAGATCCAGGGCAGCACAGGCTGCGATGCTGATCCATTAAGATGTAATTTTTGCAGAACTATTGGATTTTCCAAAAGACAATAAATCATACACACAAACAAAAATTCCACCTGATATCTTTCAGATAGGGCACTCTTCGTTCAATAGAATAATGAAGATTTGTTTTATCCAATAATATGAAATACTTACTCAAATGAGAGTCAGTCCTGAACTTTTTTCATCTTATCAAATATTTAACACTTCCTATATCCAGTTAGGGTTTCCTGGGTGGCTCAGTGGTAAAGAATCTGCCTGCCAGTGAAGGAGACGTGGGTTCAATCTCTGGGTCAGGAAGAGTCTCTGGAGAGAGAATGGCAACCCACCCCAGTATTCTTGCCTGGAGAATCCTGCGGACAGAGGAGCCTGGCGGCCACAGTCCATAGGGTTGCAAAGAGTCGGACACGACTGAGAAGCAAAGGCTTTCACTTCCCAGGTACAAACACGGGTACCATCCAGGTCCTGGGAGAGGTGGTGTGTGATGAAGGCCATGTCTGTGGTGCAGGGAGCCCCCAGCAACCCGGAAGTGGGGGAACTCACAGCGGGTCAGATGGTAGGGGTCGGCATGTGTAAGGAGGTGGGCGAGGCCGGGGGAGGTGACTGGGATGCAGGCAGGGGCGGGGCTTCCCGGGCCGGGCCAGGTGCCCAGGAGTGGACACAGCTGACCCAAGTGGGTTGAACAGTGAGGGTGGCCACAGAGTGTTAAATGCAGGGGCCAGCCTGGCTGCTAAGGCGTCATTCCTTCCACCGGCAGGCATTCACCGAGCTCCTCTTCAGTGGGTACTGCAGAAGCCAGTGGGGCGGGCAGCTCAGCTTGACCCTCACGGACACTGAGCCAGAACCGGGATGGTGAGCGGGGCTGGGAAGTCGGCGATCAGACGCTAAGGAAACTCAGGTGCTCTGACCTGGTCTGGGGCATGCGAAGAGTCGCGAGCATCAGGGCGGAGTGGGAGGCTGGAAAATGTGTGAGTCAGATGGTGGGGGGAGGGGGTGTCTCCAGTGTCCAGGAGAGGCCACTGCTCTCTGTTCCCAGCGCTCTGGGACCGCGAAGGCACTGCATGTTTCTCCAGGGTGGTTAGAGCCAGCCTGCAGGATGGGTTTGGACAGAGAGGGAGTGTCCACCAGCAAGCCAGTGAGGGAGATGCTGAGAGAACTTAGGGGACAGCGCACATCCTGTGTCTTAGGGTTCCAAGACCACAGGGAGGACGGACGCACCACACCCTTGATTTAAGAAAAGTATGACACCACACTCCATAGACAGCCTCTGGTCACCATGGACACGGCAATGGCACCCCACTCCAGTCCTCCTGCCTGGAAAATCCCATGGACGGAGGAGCCTGGTAGGCTGCAGTACATGGGGTCTTGAAGAGTCGGACACGACTGAAGCGACTTCACTTTCACTGTCATGCATTGGAGAAGGAAATGGCAACCCACTCCAGTGTTCTTGCCTGGAGAATCCCAGGGACAGAGGAGCCGGTGGGCTGCCGTCTATGGGGTCGCACAGAGTAGGACACGACTGAAGCGACTCAGCAGCAGCAGAAGCAGTCACCATGGACGTGCTTCTAAGGGGGGACTTGAGACCCAGGGGCAGGGGGGATCATGTGGTGTATATAAATCTTGATAGAAAACAAACAGGAAACAGTGCTGTCATTTTGAAAGTATCATTATGTTTTCTCATACACATTTCAAGCTATTACCAGCTTCTTTCTCTTTCTGTCCTTGTTTTCTTTTAACATTTATTAATGTTCTTGTGGTTGATTATTATAGTCAAAGTGTTTGCCAGGAGCCCCAAACCCACAGCTCTAAGGATCTTACCGCGGTAGGATCCGCATCTCAACAGGGCAGAGAGGAAGTGCAGAAACGAAGGTGGGGGGGCACCTTTCACGGCCCAGCAGTGGACAACAGCAACCCAGACCGTGGGGTCACATCTCAGTCCGGCCCCTGGACCACGAGGGAGTGTTTGGCAGCTGCTTCCCGGGAACATCTGGGATGTGTGTGCACCTAAGGCGTCTGCACAAAACCCGGTTCCCTGGAGCAGGGCCTGTGCGCGGGGCCGCTCGTCTGGGGCCGGGCCTGCAGGACCGAAGCTGCAGGTGTGATTCCTGGGATCGTCGGCGGGTCGGCTAGCTCGGCCCCCAGCCGCGCCCCCAGCCTGCCCAGCGTCGGACAAGCGGAGCCGGGTGGCAGGAGCCGGGGCTCAGCCTCTCGGCAGCTGAGTTGGCTTCATCGTATCTGCATCCGCCTCCTCTGTAACGTCTTCAGCGCCCCTCCTGAGAGCCGCGCCGTGAACATCTAATTTTCCCGCTGAGAATTGAGGAAGGAGGCAGGATCCACTGGGTGGATCAAAGGCCTGCAGCCGGCAGGAGCCAAGACTTGCTTCCCATCTTCATGGAAGATAATCGGTTCTTGACTTGAGAAAGTGCTGAAGGCCAAAGGAGAGTCGGTGTGAATTGGAACCAGAGGCTCAAGGAAGCAGAGGGGTACGACCCCACCCTCTCCCTGGGGAACACGAGTTCCTACACGCGGGGCTCCGAGCACCAGATGTTAACAGGTAGAGCGCACCACCCGTCTCTGAAACACCCGCGGCTATTCCTCTGACCGCAGCTTGCTTCTGGCAAGCGACCTGAGCTCATCACTGGAGATTCTCTTTCCCTTTTAGATGTTTAAAACGTGTGTCTGAGCCTACTTTTCAGTGGCTCCTGTCTACCTACAGGAGAGAGAAGACCTCAGATCCTTGCCAGGCCAGATGGTCTGGCGTTATCTTCATTCTGGCTAAAAATGAGGTGCAGCCTGTCCAGTCATCAGGCACACCAGGTGCGTCCCTGCGAGGAAGCCGCCGCGGTCAGTCTTTCTTTAAAGAGCCTCTGCGTTGCTGCAGTAAAAGCTAGGCCTCCAAGTGCTTTCAGGCGATGCTTTTGATTGTTTTACTCTAAGAAGGCATTAGCCAAAATGAAATGTGTTATTTTTACTTGTTTAACTGGCATCTATAATTCTTTCCGTGGCATTTCCTATTCTGTCCCCAAAGTGGGTGCCACACCTTGATCTGCTTCCTAAAGATACAACTTTCTGGACTCAAATCTGAGCAGGTGGGGCAAAGTAGGAATTGCAGAAAAGAGGGATAAAGTGTGAAATCGTGAAATTTAAAAAAAAAAAAGACTCCACGGGAATAATTAGCATGCCATCGGTTATTACTCAAATTCTTTCCAGATTATTACTTAGATACTCATTTTTGAAACCAAAACATCTATAGCAAAACATAAAAATATTTAAAGCCAACATATCTAAATATTAATATTCTTAATGCCTTTTAAGGTTGAGGTGATAGTCAACAATTTTTTGACCTACAGAGATGTTGCTGCTGCTGCTGTTAAGTCGCTTCAGTCGTGTCCGACTCTGTGCGACCCCATAGACGGCAGCCCACCAGGCCCCCCAGTCCCTGGGATTCTCCAGGCAAGAACACTGGAGTGGGTTGTCATTTCCTTCTCCAATGCATGAAAGTGAAAAGTGAAAGTGAAGTTGCTCAGTCGTGTCCGAGTCTTTGAGACCTCATGGACTGCAGCCCACCAGGCTCCTCCGTCCATGGGATTCTCCAGGCAAGAGTACTGGAGTGGGTCGCCATTGCCCTCTCCTACAAAGATGTTAATTACCCACAGTTTTCTCCAGGGGAACCTCCCAACCCAGGGATTGAATCTGGGTCTCCTGCGTTAGCAGGAGGTCTCTTTACTATCTGAGCCACCAGTGACGACCCCTTTGATTTAATGCTAAGACCTTATTGGATAAATTGGTTTAGATTATTAGTAGAAAATACAAATAGCGTAAAACATGTGAAAAAAAAAGTGTGACCTTCCTAATAATTAAGTAGATGCAAATACAAGGCAAAAGCAACCCATCTGAAGCTGTCATAAATAGCTGGGGTGTGTGAGAGTCTGCCTGTTCCGGGCTGTGTAGAGGAAAACAAGGACAGCGCTGGAGGGAATACAAGAGGACACAGCCTTCTCAGGAAGCAAATTGGCAATAATGTAACAAAAAAAAATTTTAACGTTCAAATCTTAGTCCTAGCAATTTCAGTTTTGTGAATTTATCTAGGGGAGGATATGTTCTGTCCAAAGATGTACATTGCAGTATTTACAACAGTAAAAATTTAGGAGACTTCCCTGGTGGTCCAGTGGTGAAGAATCTGCTTGCCAACGCAGGGCACATGGGTTTGATCCCTGGTCCGGGGACTAAGATCCCAAATGCTGCAGGGCAGCTGAGCCCACACGCCGCAACTCCTGCGCCTGCGCTCTGCAACAAGAGACGCCGCCACATTGAGGAGCCCTCCTACCACAGCGAAGAGGAGCCCCCAACCCCTGCAGCTAGAGACAAGCCTGCGCACAGCAACAGAGCCCCCAAAATTCTGGAAGCAAGCCCACGTCCAAGATCAGAGAAATCAGGCCGTAATTAGAAGCATGGAAAGCAGAGTCAAGCAAGATTGTCTATAAGCCCCTCTGTCTGTTTAATATTGTCACGTTAGACAAATTGCCAAAACTCTGAGCCTCAATTTCTTACAAACATATATGATAAGGATAATTTCTAACTCATTGGGCTGTTGTTGAAACGACATTTAAAAATGTATATACATTGCTTGGATCCGTGGAAAGTAGCAAATATTAGCTCCTCTGTATTATTATTATTATTATTTGGTCATCTTCAGTTTAGTTCAGCTATTGAAAGAATGTGCAAGCATACTTTGTAGTGACAGAGGAAATGCCGTATTATGTTATATGAAAAATCAAAGTGTACAGTTACATAGAGATCATGGCCCAGACTCTGGAAGACATGCCCAGAAAAAGAAGACAAGAATGCATGAAATACAAGCCACGATTTAACAGGGGCTATCTGGGTCTTGGAATTAGGAGAGATTTTCCTACATGCTTTCAATACCTGTGTCATTTCCAACTTAGTTATAATGAGCGTGTATTATCTTTATCATTGAGAAGGCTAAATTGTATTTTCTCACATACAGCCCCTCTGCTGTTGACCTGCAGACAGAGCAGGTAATTATTTTTGTCCCTGGCCCTGGCTCCCAGGCAAGATGGGAGAGCAGCTGGGTGCAGGGAGAGAGAGACCAGACAAGGGGCTGGGACACGTGGCTTTGGGACCCTGGGTCTGCAAGCCCAGCCAGTGTGGGCCAAGCTCCTGTCAGGGGAGGGGTGGTCAGAAAGACCGAGGCTTCACGGTGGGGCCCATCACTCCCCTCAAGAGGCTGGCCGACCCGTAGTCCCCTGGTTCTCTGAGATATCGTGGTTCCTTCTTTGACTGGTGTTGCAATGGAGTAATTCCACTGAATTGTGAAAAGTGAAAGCGTTCAACACTCAGTCGTGTCCGACTCTTTGTGAGCGCATGGACTGTGGCCCGCCAGGCTCTTCTGTCCATGGGATTCTCCAGGCAAGGATACTGGTGGGGTTACCATTCCCTTCTCCAGGGGATTTTCCTGACCCAGGGATCAAGCTGATTTCTCCTGCCTTGCAGGCAGATTCTTCACCACTGGCCACCAGGGAAGCTCTGTGTCTGGAATAAAGACTGCGTTGGGAAGGTGATAGAATCGGTGGATCCCCTCTTCTGGTAAGTGAACCCACACACAGTTTTGCCTGACAGTTTCGGGGCTCATAACACCCTTCCTCTGACCTCAGGGTTCTTTAAACCCCAGGTACTGTATTAAAGTATGGGCAGTTTTGAAAACACTGAACGCTATTTGTTCAAGGTTCCCGGTGCAGGAAGGGAAGATGGTTTCCAACACTGGATTTATGACCTGGTAACAAGACACAGTCCCTCAGGGCTGGTCCTGGAGGCACCTTCTGTAATGAAGAAAGCCTGTCGGAATTGGTGTCCAAAGGGTCCACAGAGCTAACTCAGCACAAATTGCCCAAAGAGGGGCCATGTCCAGGTCTCCTGCCCGAGAACGCTGCTCCTCGGGCTGAAAGCGCTGCTGGCGCAGGCGAGGCGGGCGTGGGGAGGTGGGCAGGGTCTGCCCTTTGGACCGGGCAGCTCTCTTTCCTCGCCAAGGTGGACACCCTTGGTGAGGCACTTCTCGCCCGGACTGCCCTTTGCCCCGAGTGTCCTCTTGTTACGTAAACGAGTCTTTTAACCCCCACCCGGTGGATTTGGACATTTGTTGTTGGCTTTCTCGCACATTGCGGCTATTTGAAATTTTTGACTGCTCTTGCTCTAGGGGAAGTGCAGGAAAGTAGGTCATGATCCTTTCCCTAAATAGAGTTCAGGCAGACGGCTCCCAGACCCACTGTGGTTTCCGTGTGACAGACTCAGAAGCCCGGCTCTCTGGGAAGAGCGGGCACACTCCGTCTGTACACGGCTTCCTCAACCTTGGCGCTGCCGGCCTTTGGGGCAGAATCACTCTTGGTGGTGAGGGTCGCCCGTGCGCTGACCCGGCCTCTCTCCCTGGGCGGATGGGCAGCACCCCACCAGCCTCCTGGCCCTTCCTGGTGCGGACGGTCAGAAACGCCCCCCAGGGGCAAACCGCCCCCAGTCGAGCCCACTGCTCTCCACCAACGTGAGAAGTGTGAGAACGTCCTGAGTCTCCTCATTGTCGAGCTGAGAAGTGCAGGATGTTAGAAGTCCTCGGAGCAAAGGCACCTCCCGGAGGCTTGCCAGGACAGGCCCCCGTGCCTCAGTCTCCCCACCCTTGGCTCGGTCCTCCCTGCGACGACAAAAGGGAGAAGACAGAAAGCCAGGCTCCCTTCCAGGTGCTGCCTGGAGCGCGATGCCCTCGGTGGGAACTGGTTCCACCGAATCCCAACGACCCCCCCAGGGCAGCTGCTGGGGCAGGAGAGAGCGCCCCGGGTGGACTGGCAGGGGCGGTGGAGGCCGCTCCCCATCAGAGGGACAAGCAGTTCGCTCCCCGCAGACACGTGAGGCACACGGGGCCTGGGAGTCACTGCGGAGGCCGAGGGGGCTCCCGCTGCCCTGGAGAGAGTGCGGGGGTGCCTCCCGGGCGGAGGAGACCTCACCCGTCAGGCACAGTCAGCTGAGAGCCTGCGTCCCAGCCTCTCCGGCGGCCCCTGACCTCCCGCGCCCTGGACCTCCGCTGACCCTGGCCTCCCGCTCCTAGCACGCCCCGTCACCCGCAGCGACGGCGGAAGATGACGGCAGCAACACGGCTCTTTCTGCAGCCTCCGCTCTCAGGCGAAGGCCCCTCTGGCACTTCCAGAACTGGACGCCCCGGGCCGGGACCACCTCTCGCGTGCCCGGCTCCACCCCTTGCCCCGGCTCAGCGGTTCTGACCGGTCGCTGCGCACAACGCGAGCCAACCACCGAGGTTAAACCCAACGCCACAGAGACACGGAGATCAACACGTTTTATGTCGCTCCGTGGAGCCCGTGGCCCCGGGCTCAGCCCCCGCAGCTCCCGACAGGGATCTCCTCTCTTCCTCTCCTCCGCGGTCCCCGGCCCCCTAACTCCCGCCCAAGCCCAGCTCACCCCTTTCCTGGCTCCCCAGTCTTCCCCTCCAGGAGCTGCTAGGAAACTGTCGGGAAACTCCGTGTGCCCAGCAGTGGCGGTCACCGCGTGAGTCTGGGTAGCCTGGTGGAAACGCTCCATACCCTTCCTAGCAGCTGGTCTTACGATACAACTAACAGACCGAAACTTAAACTCAACTTTCTTTGATCCTGCGGGACCCCTGTATTCGTGAAGATTTATGCAAAAGCGCTTAGGAGAATCTTGGTTTTCTCAATAAATTCTTGGGGAAAATTGCTTTTTAAAGAAAAACAGGGGCTTCCCTGGTGGCTCTCTGGTAAAGAATCTGGCTGCCAATGAAGGAGACACACAGGAGACTCGGGTTTCATCCGTGGGGCAGGAAGATTCTCCTGGAGAAGGGAATGGCTACCCACTCCAGCATTCTCGCCTGGGGAATTCTGTGGTCAGAGGAAGCTCGCAGCTTTCAGTCCATGGGGTCTCAAAGAGTCGGACACGACTGAGGAGCTAACACTTCACTTCTCCTATCCCTGTCGCACTCCCCCATGTAACCCCATCCCCTGGTGAGTGAGCAGCACCTGTGAGTGCCAGCCACGGAGGGGATGGCGTGAGATGGCAAATGGAAGAGGTTTTGCAGATGAAATGAAGACTGCCAACAACTGACTGCAAATTAGTCACAAGGGCGATAGCCCTGGGTGGGCCTGGCCTGACGAGGTGAACCTCATAAAAGCTGGGTGGGAGGTAAGAGACGCAAAGCCGCAGAGACCTCTCCTCCCACCAGAATCCCTAGAGATGGCCGGAGAGCCCTCCTGGGCTCAGAGAGACGGGGCAGAGGTCATGGAGGACACAGACAGGAACGTGTGGATGAAAGGGAGGCCCGCCTTCCTGCGCTTTCACCCGCCTCGGGGGAGCACGCTGCGCTGAGAAGTGCAGGAGAGGAGCTGAATTCTGCCGACACACGTGGGCACCTGGACTCGGACCCCACCTCAGCCGTCACCCTGACCGCCGCTTTGTGAGTCCCTAAACACGCCTGGAAGCAGAGACCATCAGCATATGTTGTTTGAAGTTACTGTGTCGGTAGTAAATGTTTACACAGCAATAGAAAACTCAGGCCAACATCACTGTAAAAGTCCAGAGAAGCCCAGTGCCCCCGCCGTCACCCTGGTGCCATGCCATCTACGGGGCAGCCCTGGAGAGCAGGCGCGCCAAGGGTGTCAGCCAGGCGGCCTTGAACCGAGGCGGAGCGGCTGCCCAGGCCCAGACCTCATCCCCTGCAGCCGAGCTTCTTTCCTCTCCTCCTTGTTAGAATCCAGCCTTGGGACTTCGCTGGTAGTCCAGTGGCCAAGACTGCGTGCCCAGCGCAGGGGGCCTTGGGCCAGACCCCTGGTCAGGGAACTAGACCCCGCGTGCCGCAGGTACAGATCCCATGTGCCACAGCCGAGACCAGGCATAGCCAAGTAAAAAAATAAAAAATCGAGCCTTTCTCCTTTTCTCTCCACCCCTCTCCTGTGTGGCTGCTTCCATTCCTGCGGCTTTAAGACCAACCCAAATACCCACGCCTCCCCAGGGTCTGCCTGTGGCTTCCTGCTGAGTAATCTTTCCCTTCTCCTGCTCCTCTGGTGCTCGCAGCCAGGGTTCCTAGAGGCTGCTGCTCCTGCCTCTACGGCGCTTCTCACGTGTCAGTTCACAGCTCCCCACCTCGCGGCCACACCATCAGCTCTCCACTGGCTCACATGCTGAACCTTCTACATTCACACGGTCTCAAATTCTAGTGTCTATTAGAAGCCCCTGTGACGCTTTTTTAAAGTTCCAGGCTGCACCTCAGACCGATGAAATCGGAATCTCTGGCCTGGGGCTGGGGGACCCAGACATCAGTTTTATATTTTCCGAGGGGTCCCCATCCACAGTCAGGTGTGGGACCTGTGTCCCCATAGGAGCGTCACGGTGCCCCCTCCCCCCACCCTCCACGTGGGCACCCGAGGGAGCATTTTAAAATGGAAACTATATCCTGCTCTCTGTGCCCAAAACTTGATCTTAGTTTGGGATTTTATGAGATAAACAGCTCTAAGCTCCTAAGTTGGTGGGTGGATTTGCTGGGTCCCCCGCCTGCCCAGCCCCCCACCGCTCTGGTCCTCCTCTCCCACCCCCTCCACCCCTCCCCCAGCTCCCATCTCAGCCCCTCCTCCCTCTCTTTGGGGAGGAGGGCTTGCGCATCCACCCCCCCCTTTCCGAGAAGCCCCTGAGGCCCCTCCCATCCGTCCCCTCCCCAGTCAGCCTTGGGCTCTTACCCTCAGCAGCATCTACCCGGAACCAGAGCTGCCAGCTTCCTTGTTTCTTCATCCCCAGGAGAGTGGAGACCACGTGAGATATTCCACCAGAGGACACCTAGCACGGGGCTGGCAGAGCCTCTGACCGACGCCTGTGAATCAGAGCTTCCCACAGCCTTGGGTCCCACTAATCCGCTGACCACCGGTTTATTACAACAGATGTGAAAGGATACCAGTCAACAGCGGATGCAGAGACGCACGCGACAAGACCTGCCCCATGGCGTCTGGAGCCCCCACGATGTACGTTGATGAATCCAGCTCACTAACCCAGAAGCTCTCCAAACCGTCTTTTGGGGACTTTATGGGGGCTTCATCTGTTGTCATTGTTTAGTTGCTAAGTCGTGTCTGACTCTTTTGTGACCCAATGGACTGTAGCCCGCCAGGCTCCTCTGTCCCTGGGGTTCTCCAGGCAAGAATACTGGAGTGGGTTGCCATCTCCTCCTCCAGGGTATCTTCCTGACTCAAGGATCAAACTTGGGTCTCCTGTATTGGCAGGGTAGTTCTTTACCACTGAGCCACCGAGGAAGCCCACTACAGAAACATGATTGGTTAAATCATTGTTCAGTAAAGGTTGAACTTGATCTCTACCCCTTCACTCCCAAGGGCGGATGGGACTGAAAGTTCCAACCCTCCAATCTTGTGGTTGGTTCCTCTGGCAACAAGCCCGCATCCTCACAGCTTAACAAAAATCACTCATTAACATAATGAAAGACACCTACATCCCTCTTGCCTGTGTGCTAAGTTGCTTCACTCGTCTCCAGCTTTGCGATCCATTGAACCATAGCCCGCCAGGCTCCTCTGTCCATGGGATTCTCCAGGCAAGCATACTGGAGTGAGTTGTCATTTCCTCCTCCAGGGGATCTTTCTGACGCAGGGATGGAACCCATGTTCTTATGTCTCCTGCACTGGCAGGCGGGTTCTTTACTGCTAGCACCACCTGGGAAGCCCCACGTCCCTCTTATCACTTAGGAAATTCCAAGGATTTCAGGAGTTATGTGCCAGGAATGGGACCAAGACTGAATATGTATTTCTTATTGTCAATCCCAATGCCACAGTTAAGTATAGAACTCATACGGTTGTTTGGAGGCTCACTCATCTGAGATAATGCATGTAAAAGGCTTTACAAAGTGCCTGGCTCCCCATCATTCACGTAATGCATCACGGATACTGGTCTCTTGTTTCATGATTACTTTGCCGCTTACGAAGCTAGCAAAGTAAATGTGTACACAAACTCTAACTTATCATCCGGGGTTTTGGAACAGCATTGTCAGTGCTTGTTAAAATAGAACTTCCCTTACCTAGCAGTGATTTAGAACACCCTGAAGTTCTGGCTGGAAAAAAAAAAGTTTTAAATCCACAATAAAAGTCAAATATTAGGAAAAGTGCAAAGAAGAAAATGGGATTCTGAAAGCTGCTTCTTTCCCCCCGGGACCTGTCCTTGGTGCATGTTCTTCTATTAGAGCCGAGACAGTGGATTATTCTCCTCCGTCCCTCTCCAGCCCCGCCTCGTCCGGGAGGAGGGGTGGTGCCTTGTGCGGTCCAGCAAGCCCCGTGTGACGCCTCCCAGGAGTCTGGGCGGCGCAGACGTTGTCCTCAGACTGCTCTGCACTCCTTCTGGGCTTGAGATTTCCACTTTAAGATTATTAGAGAGATTGACAGCCTCTTGGTCCTTGTGACAGATGCCGTTGGCTTCACTCTTGTAGCAGAGGTTGGGGGTCCCTGCTGAAGCATCACCGTCCTAGGACATGGGCAGGGAGGGTGGGACCCTGCCCTCTGCCCTCCGCCCTCTGCCCGGGGCCTTTGGGATGGCCACAGGCTGTGAGCATGGGTCCCTGTTGGGTCACAGTTTCACCCTGGTCCAGCCCTGGCCTGGGGGTGAAGGGACAAAGTCCAGGAAGGGGCGCAGAGGGGAAAGAATGCACCAGAGGGAGGCCCACCTTTCACCTCTGTACCCAGACCAGCAGGTCCGCAGACACATTCCCTGCCCGCCAACCTGCCCTGAAAGGGGCGAGGGGGCAGCTGCCTGAGGGAAGCCTGAGAGTGTCCTGCCCTGATCAGCGCTCCTATGTCAGATTCCACGAGGCCCTGAGGCCCAGGGTTACAGTCTGGGGGGCGGGGCGGGGGGCCAGGGCTGCACAGACCAGCTCATGGCCCCTGTGTGTCTGCCGACCTCCTCATGCCTGGGGTTTTCATTATCTGTGGAGGGATGCGGGCAGTCCTGACCTCGGTGGTTGATGAGCTGAGAACGGGGAGGATGGGTTGAGTGACCATGCAAAGCGTGTGGAATCACCTGGGGCCTGCTAGAGGAGCTCAGACTCTGTGGCTTCAGGCCTTGTCTTCTGCAAAACAAATACCACTGACTGGGGGCTTTAGAAACAACAGAAAAATATTTCCCTGCTGTCCTGGAGGCTGCAAAGTCCCGGCTCAAGGTGTCGGCCTTGGTGAAGAGCTCACTCTCCCAAGGCAAGGGTTGCAGTTTCAGCCCCTGGGCAGGTAGCCCCTCCACGCCACGGGACAAGCCCACAGCACTACAGCAACGTCAAAAAGTGGTGGCTGATTCCGTTCCTGGCGGGGTCCGCTTCCTGGGCTTCAGGAGGCCCCCTTCTCCCTGGGTGCTCCTCTGGCCCGGGGAGAGGTAGGCTCGGTCCCTTCCTCTTCTTAAAAGGGCACTGACCGCTCAGTTCAGGGCCCCACCCCCATGACCTCATTCAGCCTTAATTGCCACCCCAAACTCCACTTCCCAGTGTGTCCCACTGTGGGCAGGGCTTCAGCATGTGAGTCTGGGTGGGGGCGGCACCAGCAAGAAGCCCATACCCTGATTAGGGGCCCGTGACCCCCACGAGGCTAACCCTCAGGAGGGACCCCATCTGATCCGTGCAGGTGGCGTGGAGGAGGCCGCTTCCCGCTCCTGCCCTCCGTGTACGCCGCAGCCACACAAGGGTGACTCCCGATCTCTCTGTGTCAGAAGCACCTCCGTTTATCAAGTGTGAGATGGAGGATGGGACACAGCATCCTTATTCCTGACGCATGACTGGGGGGGCCTCGCCTGACATTCCCGCAAACCAGGCTTACAGGGTCCTTGTTGGAGACAAACCACAGTTTACAAATTAAAGACGGCTCTGCAGTCCCTACCCTCAGAAAGGAATGAGTGCTCCCGATGGTGGAGAAAGAGGAGGGAGGAGATGGGGAGGAGTGGGGAGAGAAAGAAAAGGGAGGCAGGAGAAGCAGGCGGCTGGAGACGTCCCTGGGGCAGCCAGAGGCTCTGCAGGCTCCCGGGGCAGCGGAGGGCAGGGCCGGGCTGGGCGCCCGCGCGGATTCCCGGGTGTCGGAGGCGTCAGCGGGGAGCTGGGGCCCCTCCTGCCGGGAGGACATGTTACACGTGATGCTGGATGCAGGGCGAGGCCAGTTAACCACCTCCCCCTGCCCCGGGACTCGGGGCCGGGAACACGGGCCCGACTCCTGCCGCCTGGCCCTCCTGCAGGAACTGTGGTGATGGCTGAGCACACACGGCTCCCGCTGCGGAAGGCGGACGGGGGCTGGCTCTCCACACAGAGAGGCCGCTGCTGGTGGGGCCCGAGGGCCCGGGGAAGCTCACTTGAAAGGGCTCCGATGGAGGGTGGGAGGAAGCCCCTCCTCTGCCGGTGGCTTCCTGACACCACACACGAGGCGCACAGGACTTCCAGGGGAGGCAGCTCCCCGAACAACCAGCCCCCAACCCCACCGCCCGGCCCCTGCCATCCGTCCCCCTGCCTCCACATCTGCACCCGTCTGTCTCCCCCGGGGACGCGGCAGTGACCGTGGCGGCGCTGACCCAGCCTGGCAGGGACTCTACCGGCGGCAGCAGGCCCACGGCCACTTCCCGACCCGAAGGAGGACCTTCTGGGTGAGCGCCCAGCGACCAGCTCCGGGGCCTCTCCTGGAAGGTGCCACCATGCCTCCTCATTTACGAGGCGTTTTCTAAAAGGAGCCAAGAGCAGGTCACTGGGCAGGCTCACGCGTTCTTGCTGTCCCCGCGACTCGACGAGCAACGGTCAGAAGGCAGAGGGGCCACCAGGTCCTGCAGGGCCTTGGGGATGGGATCCCTGCTGGGGGGGGGGTGCCTCCCCAGGGCGGAGGACGCCCCTGGGCCCAGCGTCCTAGCGGGCATCCTTTCTGGGCACAGAGCCCAGAGCCTGGCCCGAGGCCCCGCTGGCAATCAGTCCTGTTCTCAGGTGAGAGGTCCAGCATCACGGCACCCCCAGGTCAGGCCACATGCATCCCTGCGGAGGCCAGAGCTCAGGGAGTGGCCCCTGGAAGGCGTGACCACGTGCGGACCCTCGGTGTGGGGGACAGGGACCCGGGCACACACACGCTCAGCAGACGCCCTCCTGCAAACCCACCCGTCGGAGACGCCTCCCCCTGGGACACACGCTGACTGTGCACGGTGCTCACACTTCGTGCCCTCAGCTCCGATCAGAACCCCCCGAATGGATACCTGTTAGTGAGGGGCGGGGAGCAGAGAGGGGGCTCCTGGGGGAGGTTCCCAGCTAGAAAGGGCAGAGCCCTCCTTTACCGCAGCTCTGGACCCCCGGGACCCAGGAGAGGAGGGCAGGCAGGCAGCTTGCTTTCAGGTCTAGTGCCCCCTGGGCAGTTACCTCGAGAAGCTGGGCTGACATTGCCAGGACTTGTTTGGGGGGTTTGTCTTACCTACCCCATTCAGACCTTGCCTCCTCAGGTAGGAGACGCACCTACGCTTCACTCCAGCTAGAAAGTGAGACCCGGACCAAGCTTCAGGGAGAGGGGAAGGGTAGACAGATGTCTAGTCTCTGAGCATTTATTCAGGATTCTTCAAAAAAAAATAGAATGAATAGGATGTGAATATCTATACTTATGTCTGGAGGGTCTATATATGAAAAGGATGGAGAGAGATTTATTTTAAGGAACTGGCTCACTTGATCATGGGGGCTGGCGAGTCCTAAATCTCCGGGGGCAGCTGGCAGCCTGGAAAACCTGGCAAGAGCTGAGAGCTCAGGCTTGAGTCACGGGGGGTCTGGGAGAG